TAGACAGACCTGCGGAGATAATAACATGCACAAAAACAAGACATAGCAAAACCAAGCAACAAGGCAGTATTTTTCTTTTATTGTTTTCCAAATTAGAAAGAGCTTTACTTTTCTGAATATTAAAAAGTAATGTCTTATTAAGCATTATTCAGGCAGTAGAGAAAATTATAATAATGATAAGAACAACTCTGCTTATTGGGTCCTTGCCAGGAAGGGTATTGAGTATATCATATACACGTAGGAGAAAGAGAAGGCTTTCTACTCCTGGAAAGCGTGAAGGTCTCAGAAACCCTCAGGGGCAGTTCTGTTTACTCTGTTCTACAGGATCACTACAAATTGGCAGGGAGAGTGATGGCAAGGAGACGTATATTATGGTGCCGGGCTATCAGATCAAATAGCGTCTGGGGTCTTAAAGGGTTGTCTCCAAATAAGCAGCCATCTAAGTGAGATGTCAACTAAGTCCACAAGGGAGAAGCACACCATCATCAGTCACCAAAGGATTGTAAATTATATTATCCGAAGTTGAAGGAGGGATTAGTATTAGAGCCTACATTGTGAGAATCTCCTTGCAGAAGGCTATGAATGACAGTGAGAACCTGGATACATTTGTGGGAACTACATAGGAAATAAGCCTCTGGTGCTCTCTCTCTCCATAATTGAGGGTTGGGAGGAAAGTGACAAAAAAAACCAAACCAACAACTTCGTCAGTTGATTCCCCCTCTGAGGCGTGCTGAACCTGATCTGGTTTTCAACATTGTCTGCATTTTTGTTTTGTTTTGTTCATATTAGGGTTTAATCTCAGAGGTTAATGTCATTGGGGGTCACCCTTTTGAAGTTGTGTTATATGTGTTTCAGTATATGAAACCCAGGATTGAGGAACCTATAGGCACAGCAAGTAGAATAAGGGCTTTGGGGGTGGAGTGGGGGATGGGGAAAGGGAGATGATGTCAAGGAGTCCAAGAAGGAAAAGAATGTCTGGAAACTGCTTGTGGGAGTAATAGTACAATACTGTTTGATGTGATTGAACTACAGAGTAATATATGTATTAACTCCCAATTAAAAAAAGATTAAGTTTGAATTTCTCTCCAGGAACCATGCTGACAAGAAAAATAAAACAAAACAAAACTACCAATCAAGAACTATATAGCTAGCAAAATTGTTCCTCAAATACAGTGGTGAAATTGGTTATATTTCCAGATAAACAGGAAGTAAGGGAATTTGTGAAAACAAAAAAACCCAAGAAATACTAGGGAGCCCTTTGGACAGAGTGCCAAGATTGGACAATAACTTGAGATTAAAACACATGACATCCTCACTCAAAACCAACCCAGATTAAAAAGTAT